GGACCGGAATCCGGGAGTGATTCCTTTACTAACTATTATCTATTTTTCTTGAATAACCTGCGGAGCGCATCGACAAAAGAAGGCCGGCGAGTTTTTATATATATATATATATACTGTATATATATATATATTTGCAACCACATATAAAATGTCTTAGCCCACATTTGGGAAGGTAACCAAACGGGCTATTTGTCAATCACATTTTATGAATGAACACTCTATCTTTCGGAAGTTCACTGTACACATATTTCAACATGTTTAACATGCGTCAAGTATGTGATTTGACAACTACATACATCCTGCTCAGTGTGCTCATCCATGTTCCACATGATATAGATCCAGCACGCCAGTGCTTGAGAACCAATATGGAAACGGGTACGCAGGGACAAAGGCAAAGGGATTGGTCTTCGGCGCTTTTTTCGTACTGCTGGTGCGGCAGGCTCCTCAGCGCACTTTGCCCGGAAACCGAGAGGATCTGAGAGGCTCAGCAATATGCTCATCAGGAGGTCTTAGCCCTTGGACAGAAAACTAGCCCTTGGACCGACTGCGTCACAAACAAGAGCATTAGAAATGCATCGTTTGAGCCTTTCTTTAGCTTTGGCCTCACTTGATCATGCAGCTTGCCGGACTGAAGCTTGAGAAACCATCCAACTGAACATATCTGAAAATACCTAGGAGCACAGCAGACGTTCTTCACCATCTCCGACACCGGATTTGCCGGGAGCTTGAGCAGGCTATTTTTACGCCATCTTCGTTTGCGTGAACAGGTCATGCGTAGACCACCCCGCCGGGTTCAACTCTCCCCACGTTTGATTCAGGAATGCGTCAACCAAGGCATTGGAGAGGACAAGCTACTAGGTCATTTGACTGTAACCGTAACCCCCCCCCGCGGGTTCAATTCCCCCCCCACCTCTGATTCAGGAATGTATCAGCTGACCTCATTTGACTGTACTGTATATAAGTCAACGCACGGAAACCAGATACCTTCATCAAAAGCACGGAATTGCGCTCTCCGATACTTCTCCCACATCCCGTTTCCAAGCCATGCTAGCTTTCGTCACCAACCTGGCCTCAAGTTGCATTGGCCTCCAACCTACTTGCGATGCCACGATTCAAAGCTGAGAACCGTATCTCTCTGAGGATGCGCCTCCAGTTACGGCCGAAACTGCCGATGGGTGGTGCTGCGATTATTGGGGTGGGGAGCCTCGGTCAACGGCAGAGTGCTCCCTGACTCGATTCTCACCGAGTCAAGGACTCGTGTAGCTTATATAGGCCTTGGCTCACGGAATCATTATTGTGACTACCAATCCAGAATCTCATTGGTTTGGATGAATATGATGAATGAATGCAGAATACATATTGCATCATATTGCATAAATCATTGTATAGACAGATAATCGATACATAATGACTACAGACACATATAACTATATATATATATATTATATATATATATACATTATACATATGAACGGAGGGTTATCTGGCAGAGCGTGGTTTTTGAAATCGATTCGAGCGCGCTAATTTCGCGCAGGAACAGCGGTACAAGTAGGAGGCTGCTGCAGAGACTGACCTGGCATCATCATGTGAATCTATGTCATTCCTGTCATTTTTTGATGTGGTACGATTCGAATTGCCTTACGCAGTTCCAGGGTTCAAAACCAAAACAAAGCCCTGCAATGCTTTGCAATGCTGAAAGACTGAATATGAGTAAATCGTTAGAAGTTTTTGCGACACGTCAATGTCACTGAATTTACAGTTGGTTGATTGAAAGAGAAGTCGCAATATCATGTTCAATCACTTTCTTTTTTGGGCCCAGTGTACAGTGTAGCCCGCTTGGCGAGGGTCACTGCCAAGCAGTCTTCCTCGTTTTCTCCTGTGTGGAGCTAGACTTTAGCGCTTGGACCAGGGAGAAAGCCAGGCTGGTTGAAGCCATTTGACCATGGAGCAGATCATCCCTCCTCAGCGCTCATCCAGCAAGTTTGTTGGGCAGACCTTGACTCTGACTGGTCTGAGCAGAGCTGCCAAAGGCACAACATCGAAAAAAGCGCTTGCCTTGCCCAGGAATTTACAACGACTATACCATACCTGACATACCTACATACAGCTCGTTACCCTACTTCCCTCCCTCTCCCTCCCTGTCCCTCCCTCGCTGGCTCCCCCGACCGACCTGCCTACAGAGTCAGACACCTGCATACGCAGACGAACCTATGATATGATTGTAGAATATTGTAGACAAAACTTTTTTGTACCTGGTCTGAATCTCAAAGGACTTGAAGAAGATTGATGGGACACTTGCTCGGACTTGGAGCCGCAGGACTGCAAGAGCAACACCAAGTTCTTTGCCTGGATGACTGAGCAAGAAGCCAACAAGAACAAGGTGTTGGGGGTGTGGGATGACAACGGTATTTTCTGTATATATACCACAATAGACATTCATATGTTCTTTTATCCTTCACCTGATGAGCTTAGCGCCGTTTCAGCCAGTTCCACACAGCTCGCACTTGCAAGGTGAAGCTCAAGGCCGAAGGCAGCGAGGAGGCCACAAGCGGAATGCTGGCAACTCCTCTCATATGTTCGACTCATCCAACTGAGCAAGAAGTTTGTTCTCGCTTGGGTCAAATCTGAACCAATCTCAGGACTGCTTCTTTCAGCCAATTCATAGCTTTCTTTGTCCTTCCTGCCAGGTCTCTGGCCTTGTGATGCCTCCCGTGGGAATGAGCGAAAAGGAAGGGGTGACGACTCAGCCTAGTGGGTCAATGCGGTTGGTCTGCTTGTGGCATTGTGGAATGTCAACAAATTTCTCGTGGCTCATCCCGTTGGCTCTGTATGTGCTGTCCCAAGTTGAACACTCCTTGAGGACCTCATCGAACACCTCCATGGCCGCAATGTGGATCTCAGTGGCAACTTGGCTTTCGGAGGTCGCAAATTGGGCCTGTGACCAAACTCCCCATTGCCAGGCTTATGACAGAGTGATTGATTGGACCAGGTAAACAATATGGTGCCTGTACAGTAGAATCTTGGGCAAGCCAAGATATGCACATTTACATTCTCGCTGACAAACAGATACACAAATATGCTTGATGTTGTGACATTAAATCTCGCTGCAAGACCGTCGGACAAGCTTGTTGTAAGATTGAGCCATGAAGAAAACAGTGCTGGCCCCTGTACCTCCTCTACCTTCGCAGTCGATGGCCCCCTAGAAACTTTTCAGTTGGGGATCCATAGGTGTCACTACGCATTTGACAAGGGTCGCTACTAGGGGCTCCTGGCCTTAGTACTAGGAGCAAGGACGCTACTAGGGGCACCTGGCTGTACTACTAGAAACAATGTTGGCTATTAGAAACAATAATTTAATAGAATTATATAGAATTAAACTAGTCTAATTTTACTTAAAATTTAAGAAACTGTTCAGTTGGGGATCCATAGGTGTCACCTATGTACTCTGAGAGCGAAATGTGGTGCGAAATGCGGTGGTGAAGGTGTAAACACAGGGTCGAGGAAGTGAACTCTGGTCGGACACCTGGGGCTTCACAGCTTCAGCTAATTGCGATGGCCTCCAAACTAGAATATGAAATAACCAATTCTGGGAAGGTGCAGTGTTACCCAAGTTTTGTGAAGAACTGTTTGTCTTCAATGGGTTCACAGCACTGTCTTGACCACCACTTCAATAGACCCTGCTCTTCATCATTGTAATAAACATGCTTTGACAGACAACACTGAGCAACCATGAGTAACTATCGGCAACCAATAATATTGACACATCAGTTCTGACTACTTGTGTGTTCTGCAAGTGGATCTTCGCCTATCCAGCTTTTCAGCAATGGATTCAGGGGCGCTTGCCGACAGAGACTGGGCATCACAGGATGCAGTCATGGGTCAACAGCACGGCTTGCAACTGCGCTATTTGAAGCAACAGGTCCTTGGCTTCGTGCTGTATGCCGACGAGCGTATATCGAAACACTTACAGCAGAAGGCGCTGTCAGTGATTCGTGACGATTTACAAGAAATCGTTCGAGTTTTGCCGGACGCCATTGTTGCTCGACTATACGAGTACCCAATCTGCTTTTGGTTGAACTTGGACAACGGTGCTTCGAAAAAAGGCTGCTGTTGTCATTGCATAGATCTACCAGATGAATACATGGCGTGCAAATCACATTCTGTAGAAATTTTTGATGTCCAAGACTTTTTGGAACAGAGGCATGCTCAGCCTGCCCAGTTGCTACATGAGATCTCCCACTGGGTGCACCATGACAAGATTTATCAAGAGCGTGGAGATCAATTTGACGAATGGAGACAAAGTCTAGGGAAACTTCATGCTACTGAGCAGAGTATTCAATTTCAAATAGAAGGCCTTGATGTGGGCATACTAGCCTACGAAATGTCAGGCTTTAGGAACGCTTCACTCAATGGCAGATTTGTACTGGATGAAGCATCATTGATAGGTGCCAGCAGCTATCGGGACCTGGTTTTAGTCAAGCTGCCAAATTTGCCGACAGCAAAAGCAACAGTCATTTGCAGATGCACGGATCTCTGGTCCACGCCAAAACCAGACTGTCAAGACCGCTGGCATTTGGAGGTGGATGGCCAAGTGTTGGCCTATCGGACTTCTACAGACTTCGGGAGGAAAGTGGTCGCGTGGCAGGAATGGGTCAGTGGAAGTTGGAACCCAAGTGGTGCAAGAGCCTCTTCACCTTCGGGTCAGAGCTCCCTGCTTGTGGAAGGCTTTGGCGAACTTGAACTTAATGGGAGATATATCGAAGAAGGGCTGACGTTGGAGTCATGGTATTCAGCCAGACTTTGTAGCAACATGATGAAGACAGCATACAAAGCCTGGATAAAGGAATCTGACGTGCAACATGGACCTGACATTGTACTTCGCTTCACAAACATGCACTCAGAGGCTCCAGAGACTGCTAGGGTGCCCTTCGACCGCTGGCACATTGAGCGAGGTGGCGACTGCCGCGCATACAATTGCCACGTGGATCCTTTACAAGGCAGTTGGAACGAGGTCTATATCAGCCCAACTGATCAAGTCATTCTGACTGCCTATTCTGCAAGTCTTCCCCTATATAGCAATTCCAGTGAACGAATTGGCTGTTATGCCCCTGAGCCACATTATGCCGCCACCAATCACAAAGAGTTCTTTGCAGAATGTTCAGAGGCGTACTTTAGCACGGTAAGATTTCGGAATGATTATTTTCCTTACATCCATTCAGAGTTGAAGGGCTATGACCCGATCGCTTACGCCATGTGTGAAGCGGTTTGGGGACCAAGAAATGAAGATGGAATTGAAGCCAGATACCTGGATGAACTTTGGCCACATTGTATTGCCGAAGGATCAGCATCATCTTTGGTCACATCACCAGACAACCAGCGAAGGTTTTTGCAGCGTGTCTTTGAAGCAGCAAGGGACCGGGCACAAAGCCTTTCAAACGTTAAATAGCATACCTCAAACTTGACGAGAGTTCCGATGCACATGCTCTCAGCTCGACTCCCACACTTTGGCCTGGCCTCGCAATGTTGAACAAATGGCAGCACTGTAGCTCAGCTCAGTTGCTGAGCTACGGCGGAGTCCAAACGACAGAAGAGGAGACAGAGGAGATGCTCGATACCTGGCATTGCATCTGAAATCGGCACAAATATGCGGACACCAGGAGATTGACATATCCACTGTATTTAACTAAGTCATGATGTGCCTGTGAAACTCAGAGTTGTCATCAGGACCTGTGCCTTTGACTCATGCCTCACCAGTCTTTGCACCCCACCAGTCTTTGCTTAGTCTTCAAGTGTTTGTTCTAGTCTTTGTGGGACCCTGAGATGAGGCTTTGGCAAGGGTATGGCCAAGTCTGACTCTTGGCCACGCTGTGGGAGGATGGCTTGACAGAGTTACTGTAACTGTATTTTGTGTCTTTCCATTGTAGTTTTCACCATGGTTGTATGCACTATGCAGACTATGCAATGCAGGAATGGCCAGGGGATATTCATTTAGATTCTAGACAATCTCCACCCTCAGTTTTGGCGCATGTTTGGGCACTTGGTTGGGCAAGGGTGGCTCATTTGTCATTATTCACAAAGATGCGTTTTGTAGCTTGAATAGCGTTGTATACTTGCCCGTGTGATGCTCCTTGTGTCTTTTTGTCAAGGTCTCTCAAAGAATTCAGCCGTGAGCTGATGCATGGCGAGCTGCAATCTTATCAATTTGGCAGTTTCCTGTATGTCTGTTATACCAAAGTCTACCGAAATTATGGATTCAAGCAGAGCTTGTTCGCTCTGCTTTGACCTATTAGTTTTGCATGAGTTCTCAGGGTCTGACTGAATCCTCTAGTTCAATGTACTCAATGCCGCAATGCCAACGTTCTTCTGTTCAGTGCAGCGTGATGGACACTGAATCTCTCTCTATATATATATATACATCGCAGTTCGAGCATTGCAACCCTTCGAGCATCCAACATGACAATCGGCGGGCAGTTTTCAGGAGTTTCCGGACTTGGCTTGCCTGAGTTTGTATGCACAAGCTCAGGTCTTCCCTTCTCATCGATGCTGCGGGCAAGGTAGAGTTGTGCTTGCCGTGATGCTTTTTCGACACGTTCTCCCAGATCCTCGCCGTCTCGCGTGACCCTATTTCTGCCAAAACATGTCTTGTTTCCCGCCCTGCAGGTG